GGAACAGACACATGATTGGATCCTCACTTTGAGATTTAATTATTTGTGGGAGGCTAACCATATATTTATTTCATTGATTTCTTGCAAACTATAGCTCACAATTCTGACAATACCAATTGATAGCAACATTTTAAATCTTTTATAACTTTTTGTAGAGGTTACTGGAACATCACACACCAACTGACTTGATTAACTTGTTAAACCGTGTGGGTCACAGTCTTAACAATCTAATCCCAAATCTAGTTCTTTATAATATTTAAATGTGTATAAGGCAAAACTGGTTAATATAAAAAATATGCATACAAAGTAAAATAAGACTACTGAAGGGATTTCAGCCTTTGGAAGAATTTTAAAACTGTAGTAATTCCCCCTTCCCTCTATTTTAATAAGTAAAATCAGATATATTGTTTATAAAAGGAGAACTGACTACCTTTACTCTTGACTACCTTTACTCTTTATTGTAGTCAGAGTTGATAAACTGGTTTCATTTTGTATGATGTTCATATTTTAACTGTGTATCAATGTAGACATTGAAAAGTCACAAACTTGAAAGATTTAAAAATAAGCACTATTGGGCTGAGTGCCGTGGACCACGCCTGTAATCCCAGGACTTTGAGAGGCCAAGGTAGGCAGATCACCTGACGTCAGGAGTTCAAAACCAGCCTGACCAACATGGTGAAACCTCATTTCTACTAAAAATACAAAAAATTAACTGGGCGTGGTGATGAGCGCCTGTAATCCCAACTGCTTAGGAGGCTGAGGCAGGAGAATTGCTTGAACCTGGGAGGTGGAGGTTGCAGTGAGCCGAGATCGTGGCCACTACACTCCAGCTTGGGTGGCAGAGCAAGACTCTGTCTCAAAAAAAGCACTATTAGGACAGTCTAGATGCACAGATTATCTTTAGCACCTCAATCAATAGAGATAAAAATGTTACAAATTAGGCAATCTATCATATTCTTCTGCTTTTTACTGAGTAATGGATTTTAGTGTTAATTTGTTGTTCCATCTTTGGTTTCTTTTAGTCTATGATCATTATTTTTATTTTATTTTATTTATTTTTTATTTTTTTTCTCTTTTTTTTTAATTGCATTTTAGGTTTGGGGGTACGTGTGAAGAATATGCAAGATTGTTGCATATGTACACACATGGCAACTTGATTTCCTGCCTTCCTCCCCTTCACCTATGTATGGCATTTCTCCCCATGTTATCTCCCCCCAACTCCCCCCACTGCTGTCCCTCCCCTATTTCCTCCCAAAAGACCCCAGTGTGTGATGCTCCCCTCCCTGTATCCATGTGTTCTCATTGTTCAATACCCACCTATGAGTGAGAACATACGGTGTTTGATTTTCTGTTCTTGTGTCAGTTTGCTGAAATGATGGTTTCCAGGTTCATCCATGTCCCGAGAAAGGACACAAACTCATCTTTTCTATGGCTGCATAATGTTTCATGGTGTATATGTGCCATATTTTCCCTGTCCAGTCTATCATTGATGGGCATTTGGGTTGGTTCCAGGTCTTTGCTATTGTAAACAGTGCTGCAATGAACATTCTTGTGCATGTGTCCTTATAATAGAACAATTTATAATCCTTTGGATATATACCCAGTAATGGGTTTGCTGGGTCAAATGGAATTTCTATTTCTAGGTCCTTGAGGAATCGCCACACTGTCTTCCACAAGGGTTGAACTAATTTACACTCCCACCAACAGTGTAAAAGCGTTCCTATTTCTCCACATCCTCTCCAGCATCTTTTGTCTCCAGATTTTTTAATGATCGCCATTCTAACTGGCGTGAGATGGTATCTCAATGTAGTTTTGATTTGCATTTCTCTAATGACCAGTGATGATGAGTATTTTTTCATATGTTTGTTGGCCTCATGTATGTCTTCTTTTGTAAAGTGTCTGTTCATATCCTTTGCCCAATTTTGAATGGGCTTGTTTGTTTTTTTCTTATAAATCTGTTTTAGTTCTTTGTAAATTCTGGATATCAGCCCTTTGTCAGATGGGTAGACTGCAAAAATTTTTTCCCATTCTATTGGTTGCCGATTCACTCTAATGAGTGTTTCTTTTGCCGTGCAGAAGCTGTGGAGTTTGATTAGGTCCCATTTGTCTATTTTGGCTTTGTTGCCAATGCTTTTGGTGTTTTTGTCATGAAGTCCTTGCCACGCCTGTGTCCTGAATGGTTTTGCCTAGATTTTCTTCTAGGGTTTTTAGGGTGTTACGTCTTATGTTTAAGTCTTTAATCCATCTGGAGTTACTTTTAGTGTAAGGTGTCAGGAAGGGCTCCATTTTCTGCTTTCTGCACATGGCTAGCCAGTTTTCCCCACACCATTTTTTTAACAGGGAATCCTTTCCCCATTGCTTGTTTTTTTCAGATTCGTCAAAGATTGGATGGTTGTAGATATGTTGTGTTGCCTCCAAGGCCTCTGTTCTGTTCCATTGGTCTGTATCTCCGTTTTGGTACCAGTACCATGCTGTTTTGATTACTGTAGCCTTGTAGTATAGTTTGAAGTCCGGTAGTGTGATGCCTCCTGCTTTGTTATCTTTGCTTAGAATTGACTTGGCCATGCGGGCTCTCTTTTGGTTCCATATGAAGTTTAAGGTGGTGTTTTCCAGTTCTGTGAAGAAGGTCATTGGTAACTTGATGGGAATAGCTTTGAATCTGTAAATTACTTTGGGCAGTATGGCCATTTTCACTATACTGATTCTTCCTAACCATAAACATGGAATGTATCTTCATCTGTTTGTGTCCTCTCTTATTTTGTTGAGCAGTGGCTTGTAGTTCTCCTTGAAGAGGTCCTTTACGTTCCTTGTTAGTTGTATTCCTAGGTATTTTATTCTCTTTGTAGCAATTGTGAATGGCAGTTCATTCTTGATTTGGCTCTCTTTAAGTCTGTTACTGGTGTATAGGAATGCTTGTGATTTTTGCACATTGATTTTGTATCCTGACACTTTGCTGAAGTTGCTTATCAGTTTCAGGAGAATTTGGGCTGAGACGATGGGGCCTTCTAGATATACAATCATGTCGTCTGCAAATAGAGACAATTTGACTTCCTCCTTTCCTATTTGAATACCCTTTATTTCTTTTTCTTGCCTGATTGCTCTTTGAATAGGAGTGGTGAGAGACGGCATCCTTGTTTAGTACCAGATTTCAAAGGGAATGCTTCCAGTTTTTGCCCATTTAGTATGATATTGGCTGTTGGTTTGTCGTAAATAGCTTTTATTATTTTGAGATACGCTCCATCAATACCTAGTTTGTTGAAGGTTTTTAGCATAAAGGGCTGTTGAATTTTGTCAAAGGCCTTCTCTGCATCAATTGACACAATCATATGGTTTTTGTCTTTATGGAAATCTAGTACCAGATTTCACAGGGAATGCTTCCAGTTTTTGCCCATTTAGTATGATATTGGCTGTTGGTTTGTCGTAAATAGCTTTTATTTTGAGATATGTTCCGTCAATACCTAGTTTGTTGAGGGTTTTTAGCATAAAGCGCTGTTGAATTTTGTCAAAGGCCTTCTCTGCATCAATTGACATAATCATATGGTTCTGTTTATGTGGTGAATTACGTTTATAGACTTGCATATGTTGAACCAGCCTTGCATCCCCGGGATGAAGCCTACTTGATCATGGTTGAGAAGCTTTTTGATGTGCTGTTGCAATCGGCTTGCCAGTATTTTATTGAAGATTTTTGCATCTGTGTTCATCATGGATATTGGCCTGAAGTTTTCTTTTCTTGCTGAGTCTCTGCCGGGTTTTGGTATCAGGATGATATTTGTCTCATAAAATGATTTGGGAAGGATTCCCTCTTTTTGGATTATTTGGAATAGTTTCAGAAGTTATGGTACCAGCTCCTCTTTGTATGTCTGGTAGAATTCGGCTCTGAACCCATCTGTACCTGGGCTTTCTTTGGGTGGTAGGCTCTTAATTGCTGCCTCAACTTCAGACCTTGTTATTGGTCTATTCAGGGTTTTCTAAAAGTGTTTGGTATGTACCACATATTTGGAAAATCAAAATAAAAGTCATACATTGCCAGAACTTTACATATCTCTCTTTTATGATCTATTATATTTATCATAACATTTAACTCTCAAAAGGCAGATTTTATTTCTCTGTGAATACAGGGTGGGGCACCCTTCTTGTTGCATCAGTGTGTTGCCTGCAAATTGTGGTTATGTTTGCATAAGACCACATTGATATTTCTTTTTTGCATGTAATCCTAGAGCTAGAATGACTTTAGCTAGTACGTGGTTTCTCATTCTTATTTTTAAAATAAGAAAATAAGACCTCACAAATATTTTTGCTCAAAGTTAGTAGCAGAGCCATAACTGGAATTCATATCCTTTGGTTCCAAGTACAATATCTTTTATAGCTTTCTATGTTGTTTTTCTCAAAAACAGACATCGTTTTCCCCCATCTTTCACCACTGCTTTGTTCACACCTGGGAGCCACAAGTTTGTGGAACTCTCTTCTTATTGCAAATACCTTTATTTTTTACCCCCCAAAAAAGAATCAATTTCTAGTAGATTTGATCACTTGGATTTCTCTATTTGATACTTCCTTAGCTCTTTTTCATTTTTTGGCCTGGCTTTTTATTATCTCTTCAACTTTCTTATTAACAATTTCTGTATTTTCATTTATGTTTATCTTTATTCTTAATTCTGTTGTGCTCCAAAAGAGAATTCTTTTGTATCTTTAAAATCATTCAGTTAGTGACCTAGACAAAAGGAATACTACAGACACATTCTATAGATGAACTACCATGAGATCAGCGTCTCAAGTTTTAAGAATTCTTAAAATTAATAGACTTTTCATGTTTTATTAGATTTTATCCTTACGAGAGAAAAAATACACAGATCTTTCTTAAGAATAATAGTTATCAACATTCTAGATCAGAGTTATTCTTTTTACTTGTTTGTCCTGTCAGACTTTCATAATTTAAAATAATAGAAGGTCTGTAGACAGTCACTTTCTTAAACTTCATTTACTTTTTTTTTAAATTAAAGGCAAGTGGTCAAACTGTAAAAATCAAAAAACTTCATGTCAAAGGAAAAAAGACTAATGAGTCAAAGAAAGGCAAGAAGGTAACTTTAACAGGAGATACTGAAGATGAAGACTCTGCATCTACAAGTAGTTCTCTAAAAAGAGGAAACAAAGATCTCAAGAAAAGAAAAATGGAGGAAAACACTTCTATTAACTTGTCAAAACAAGAAAGTTTTTCTTCAGTTAAGAAACCTAAAAGAGATGACTCCAAGGACCTAGCTCTTTGCAGGTATTATTTCCATTTTCATGCACTCTATATTTGTAACATCCCATTTTATTTGTTTAAAAACCTTTTACCATATTAAAGCTTCCTTTCTGATAATTTGTGGAAATAAAAAATGTAAAGCACAAGTGTTAAGAAAATGTGTAAGTACAGTAAATGTATTCCTTTGTCCTTTAACATTAATTTGCATTGAGTTTTTATTTGAAAGATTATAATTGGGCCTGGCACAGTGGCTCATGCCTAAAATCCCAGCAGTTTGAGAAACTGAGACGGGCAGGTCACCTGAAGTCAGAAGTTCGAGACCAGTCTGGCCAACATGGTGAAACCCTGCCTCTACTAAAAATACAAGCATTAGCTGGGCATAGTGTCGCACATCTATAATCCCAGCTACTTGAGAGGCTGAGGCAGGAGAATCACTTGAACCTGGGAGGCTAAGGTTGTGTTGAGCTAAGATGGCGCCACTGTACTCCAGCCTGGGCAACAGAGCAAGCCTTTGTCTCTGTCTCTGTCTCTCTGTCTCTCTCTCACTTTCTCTCTCTCTCTCTCTATATATATGCATTTATATATGTGTGTATATACATATATATATATATACACACACACACATACACACATATATGTGTGTGTGTGTATAATATACATATATATAATAACTGAATTTTTTTTAAATTAGAGAATAGACAATTGTAAAGTATGGATACTGATTTCAAACATTATTTTCTTTAGTATGATTCTGACTGAAATGGAAACTCATGAGGATGCATGGCCTTTTCTACTTCCTGTAAACTTGAAACTTGTTCCTGGTTATAAGAAAGTTATTAAGAAGCCTATGGATTTTTCCACAATTAGAGAGAAACTAAGTAGTGGACAGTAAGTAAATCATTTCAGTTTACTAAATATTTATTGAATCCCTGATATGTGCTGGGCATATTTGCAGTGAGCCAAAGTTATTTTAATTAACCATAAGATATAGGCCCTGCCTTTCAGGTGGGTGTGTGTATGTGTATTTGGCTAGGGTAGAATAGCATAGAAGAGAAACCAACTAAAATTATTTAAGAAAGTAAAAACCAGTGTAATAGGCTGGGCGTGGTGGCTCACGCCTGTAATCCTAGCACTTGGGGAGGCTGAGGTGGGTGGATCACCTGAGGTTAGGAGTTCAAGACCAGCCTGGCCATCATGGTGAAATCCCATCTTAAAAAAAAAAAAAAAAAAAAACAGTGTAATAAACCTGCTTTTGACATTAAAAGAGCACCACAAACCCAGGCTGAAGGTAAGGAAAAGTAACAGGAAAGCCTCCCAAAGGAAGTAATATATAAGCCAGAACTTGTATTCTGCATCCATGGCACAACCACACCTCATATGGATTTAACAAAAATTGACTTAAATATTGTTAGATGACCATAATGCGGAAATAGAAGATCTTTGGAAGTTTTACATATTAAGAGCTTTAATGTAGTTATTGGAGAATACCAAAATTCCATTTATTAATGTGGAGAGAAAACTATTATTTGCTCCTCTCTACCTTATCCTCTTTGCAATCCTATTCCAAGAATAAAGTTACTTACTTTGGGAGGCTTTCCTGATACTCATGCAACGTGTATTTTAATTATGTTGTTATTATTCAGTATATTATTTAGATCTTCCTGTACATTCTTTTGGTGAAAATAACTGGAGCCTGTGTACTCTATACTTAATTTAGAAGAGTTAAATAGAACTTATAATGATCAGTGTCCCTCACAAATATCAAGTGATTTACTAAGTTATCGAGATGACTAATTTATTTCTTTGGAGGATGAAATAACAGTCTTCCAAAGGTTTATGTCTGTTTTGTTTTATTATTTTCTTAATTACAGAAGGGACCTCCCTAAATTCGGGAAGCATTTAAAACCATTAAAATGATTGATTGGTACTGATTGGTTCCAGTATGCAAATGCTGTGATCAAGATATGGACTAGTTCTTTCTTTCTTAGTTCTATCAAAATAGTCCATTGTCTAGATGGATGGCACAATGAAATTTGTAATTAACATGGCCAAGAGGAAGAATTACACATGAAGACTTTACTAGTATTTAAATTAACTTTTGATTTTAACTTCCATGATCTTCCAGTTCCTGGATACAGGATTAACATAAACCTCAAAACTCCTAAAACAAATAGGCTTAGAAATAAATATAACAAAAAATACTACAGAATCATATGGGCCAGGTGAGGTGGCTCACACCTGTAATCCCAGCACTTTGGGAGGCCGGAGGCAGACAGATCAGGAGTTTGAGACCAACCTGGCCAATATGGTGAAATCTCGTCTCTACTAAAAGACTAAAAGTACATAAATTAGCTGGGCATGGTGGCGCATGCCTTTTAGTCCCAGCTACTCAGGAGGTTGAGGCACGAGAATCACTTGAACCCAGAGGTGGAGGCTGCAGTGAACCAAGATCACGCCACTGCACACTCCAGCCTGGGCAACTGAGTAAGACTGTATCTCAAAAAAAAAAAAAAAAAAAAAAAAAAAGCTACAAAATGAGAGCTTTGGAAAATGAGTTTGGGTGAATGGAGGAAGTCACAAGGGAAGAGGAAGAGAGAAGGAAACAGTCTGTGTAATCCTGTTTGTGATGCCAGCTGTGTGGGAAGCAAAATTCAGTGGATTCAAGCTCCTCAAACTCTCCAGTTGGAGTTGGTTAAACCCAAAGTAATGAGATAGAACCAAAACTCACAAGCCATATTTAAAATTTTTAAACTAGAAATGTTTAGAATAGAGGGAGTGGCCTACTTTAATGAATCTTTCTGAGTTCCATTAGCCACCCATCCCCTAAAGGAAGGACACACATATGAGTTATATACTTTTCTCCTGGATTCCACTCTCCCTAAGGTTAATCATTAACCTTTTCTTAGGGTAAGGAGCAATCTAAAGAGAAGTAGTTCGTAAAATAACTTTAAAATATTTTATAAAAATCATTACTACACATATTGTATGATTCCATTTGTATGAAGTATCCCGAATAGATAAATTCATAGGGACAGATAGAAGATTGGTGGTTGCCAGGTGCTGGGAAGAGGGAGGAATGGGGAATAACTGCTTAATGAGTATGATGTTTCCTTTCAGGGTGATGGCAGTGTTTTGAAGACAGAAGTGACGATAATACCATGTTGTGACTTAAATGCCACTGAATTGTCTACCTTAATATGGTTAATTTTATGTGAATTTCTTCTCCTCAATAAAAATAAGCAAATAATTCCTAGGAAAATGGATGAGGTTACATGTGAGCATATTACACATACGGAAATGTTTCTTTCATTTACACAGAAGGGAGTGAAAGGTCATATAAGATATTTCACCAAAAAAATAGAATTCCACTTTGACAAGCTTTCACAGCAAAGCTTGTGTGTTTCATGGGGTATTTTTCTTTTTTTAATTTTTATTTAAGTTTTTGTGGATACATAGTAGATGTATATATTTATGGGCTGTACAAGATACAGGCATGCAATGCATAATAATCACATCATGGAAAATTGAGTATCACATCAAGCATTTATCCTTTGTGTTACGCATCATCCAATTATGCTCTTTTAATTTAAAGTGTGTACAGTTAAATTATTATTGACTATCGTCCCCTGGTTGTGCTATCACATACTAGATCTTATTCATTCCTTCTATTTTTTTATGCCCATTAACCATCTCACCTCCCCACAGCCCTTCCCAACCTCTGGTACCCATCCTTTTACTCTGTTTCCAAGAGTTTAGTTGTTTTGATTTTTAGATTCCATAAATAAGTAAGAACATGTGATGTTTGTCTTTCTGTGCCTGGCTTATTTCACTTAACATAATGACCTCCACTTGATCCACATTGTTTCAAATGACAAAATTTCATTCTTTTTTTATGGCTGAATAGTGCTCCATTGTGTATAAGTACCACATTTTCTTTATCCATTCACCCATTGATGGACACTTAGGGTGCTTCCAAATCTTGGCTATTTGAACAGTGCTGCAACAAACACAGGAGCGCAGATGTCTCTTTAATATGCTGATCTCCTTTCTTTTGGGTATATACCCAGCAGTGGGATTGCTGGATCACATGGTAGCTCTGTTTTTAGTTTTTTGAGGAATCTACAAACTGTTCTCCATAGTGGTTGTACTAATTTACACTCATGGGATATTTTAATGGTTACATTATTTTAGTATCCAGCTTGTCATAGGTTAATTTAAAATTTGAATTTCTAAAAGCTGTCTTTTAAAATTTGTTGAATTGGCTTGAGTTGGCTTGAAATGACCATTCCTTTCTTACTAATAAGCTTAGGCAAATTCATTCACCTTTCTTTTCTCTTTTCTGTTTTCCTACAGAGGAAGAGAATTGGGTTTATCTCACCAGAAAAGCGTGGAAACCACACTGCTTCTTGTTGAAAGACAGACCCTCATAATGTTACCTCTAGTGCAGAGATAGCATATGCTTTGTTTGCTTATTTAGGTTCATCATACTCCAATTCTTGGGCAAAAGAGCATCAATAAGATAAGAGAAATAGGAAATGGGGAATTCCGTATATAAAAGCTACAGGACAAGTGTTAATTTTTATCATTGCATAGAAAGCATTTACATGATTTCTACTGCAGCTGAGCATTTTTGAATACAGATAATAGGATCCTACAAGTGATACATTTGGTCAGAGAACTTAATAAATTAGTCAAGTGGGATAGGTCGTGTGACAGAACTGTGTGACACAGGTCAAACAGGAGATGGGATATGGGAAAATGCCAGTTGAAATATGTTTTGTTCTTTAGAGAAATATGTTTTTCCATTTAACCTGTTCTTTAAATCCAATATGTTCCAGAACATACAAAAATTTTTAAATGTTCCATCTATAAGAAGGTATCATATTTTTATATCAGTTTAAATGCAGTTATCCTAATCATTTTTTTTTTCAGTTTTACCCTTTGTTAACTCTTCATTTTTTTACAAAACAAAGCCACTGTATGAAAGTAATCACTAATTATGTGTTTTCTTTCAGGTATCCAAACCTTGAAACCTTTGCTCTAGATGTCAGGCTTGTTTTTGACAACTGTGAAACATTTAATGAAGATGATTCTGATATAGGCAGAGCTGGCCACAACATGAGGAAGTATTTTGAAAAAAAGTGGACAGATACTTTCAAAGTGAGCTGAAGTTATAATAATCTCTTTATTTTTTTTCTTTTAAACAAGGACAAATGAGACCAGCAATGTGAACTGTATTTACATAAATGTGCAAGGCACATACATAATGACTTTCTTTTTCCTTAAGATAAGTATAAAAAAAAAGTATCAGAAGAATGATACCATTTTTAAAGGCTTCACTCCTACAACAACCAAGGCCCTTGGTTATTGGTTTGTGTGATTTATCAGCTAATTTAGGTAGAACAGGGAAGCACACCCAAAGAATTTTCAAAGGAAAGGGTGTTATAGTGCAATAGCAATTAAAATATATCAAATCGCACTGAATACTCAACACCAGAGCTCTAATGTGGGAAATGGTTCTCCTTTCCCTCTCAATAAATATCTATTTTTCATTTTTTTACTTTGTAGTTTATTTTTTAGTGAATGTATTTAATTTTATGAATTATTTATGATTAAACCACATCCAGAATCTTCGTTTTCTGTGAAAAGGAAGAACTAGAAAATTGCTTTAAATCTTGAAAAATACAACAAGGAATGTTTTAAAATATAAAACAAAGCCAAGTTAAACTGTTTACACTGATGTGCTATAAAAGCACCAAAAAGAAACTTTACTGTAGAGTTACAAGTACATTTATATATATATGTTGCTGCATCACTTGTGTAGTTAAATTGTATTTCCAAACAGTGAAAAAATTGACATGTATATACTGTTCATTCTTGTTTATATTGTCTTGTTTTAAATATGTATTATGTGTATATATTGTTTGCAGACCTTATTGTTCATGCCTTAGAGGATTGTAGCATTTTATTTTCGTCTGAAGGTAATGATAGCTATACAGTCTGTACAGTAATTATCCTCTACCAACACTGTGGCGTCTCCTTAATCTTGGTAGTGCCTGCCTTTGAAACAGGGTGTAGGGGATATTAGTTTTCCATTTTTCTATTTTGTTACATAATTTTAAGCCACCAGGGCCTAAATTAAAGTATAATCATTTGTATCCACGTGGAATAAAATTGTGACAATTTCCTACGCACACAGTATTTTTTCATAGAAACATTTCCCTCCCATTTGCCTTGCCTCAGAAATAAATTTAAAAGACATTTGTAACCACTGTGTTTTATCTACTGTGTGTTGTGGTGGCCTGTTGGAGGCAAATAGATCAGACTTTTTTTTGTACCTATGTAAGAGTACTTGAAGTTTTATTTAAAATAAAATGTTGTGAAAAAGGTAGCATTCTTTTTTTTAGGAGTGTTATTTTTCACTATGTGTGGCACGGATACAATAAAAGACTTTTACAAACTTATTTTTTAGTTTTTCTTAATGTAACTGAAAATATATTCTTTTTTAAAAAGCCAGTTAATTTAAATTTGATTTTTACAGAGACCTAAAGGAGGAACAGTGTGTAGAGAGTATGGTTCACAGAGCACTGGGGTGGGTTGGAAGAGGGTGAGTTTCAGTCAAGTGGCCAAACTTCTGTAGCCTCTGAGCCTCACTGGTCTGTAAACTTCTCTGGACTTGGTTTTCTTTCTTCTTTCACATTTTCAAGATGAAAATATTGGAATACATTAGATCTTGTTCTGGTATGAAAAATGTCTCTATGGCTAGCCAAATAACCCAACTGTCAAGAAGAAAAACCAATATATAAATTAGTCTAATAAGACATGTATTTCTCCAAGCATTCAAGAAATACAATTTGCTGTCCTGCTGAGCTCTGCCAGACTCCGGAGAATCCCTGTTGCACAAGCTAGGCCCAGCCTTCATGGAGCTTATAGCCCCTTGAAGTGGGCCTTAGATACTGTCCACTGCTTTTTATCATGAAGAGAGAATAGAAATGTTTTTAAAAGAAAAATTTTTTTAACTTCACCAAGCTTCAAAGCCCCAGAGTATTTTCAGTATCTCGATTGTTTGTGAAGACTTATATGAAAAACAGCTGTTACTATGTAAATGTGTCCGTTTCTGTTAACCACATATTACAGTGATGGCTTAAGGGGGCTGGTGCTTGAGCAAAAATGCCTTGTAGAGCAGGGAAGAAGGTGACACTGTGAATAAAATGTCTGGTTTTTGTGTTTCTAGAACTGCCTAGTGCTCCATGGGGATTCTTCATCAGGGAAATCCATGGGGATACTTCATGAGGATTTTTTTTTTTTTTGCCTTAGAGATTATATATGCCTACATTAATTTATATTAGACAGTACATAAGTGGCTTGATAATAACTTGTCTAGTGTCGAAGGGCTCATAAATGAGAAAATACTTAAGCACACATACACAAAATTTTTTGAGAGTGAAAATTTACTTTTTTAAAATAGGAAAAAAAGGAAAGCTTGGTAAATATTGGCTCCTTTGGATTGGTGTCTTCATTGTTACTCAGCAGAGGTAGCTGTTAAAACCTTAGTGGGCGTGATCCCACAAGGGCTGCAGTTGGAGTAGGTGACGGTGGTTCCTATACATCATGGATCACTTGTTATGTAAGTGACTCGTGCACTCCCAGTGCCCTAGGTTGGGCTTATTCTCAATAACACCAGTATCATTGTTCTCCTCAAATTAAAAAAAAAATTATCCTAACTCTCTGATGTCACATAGTTGCAAGTATATATAACATATTTTCATTAAGATAAAGTAGGCTTTCACCTGGACCTTCTTCATTTTAGTCCTAAATGCTCTGTAAATTATTTAAAAACTGGCCAGCTTTCAAGTTTAGATTTAGATTATCACTCAAGTGGTGACCACCAAGGATAACCAAACAATCCACTACTGCTGAACAGAGAAAATCATCATCAGTTTGAAACAATATGTAGACAGTAAATTAATATTTGAGTTGTTAACCACAGTGAAAATTAAACAGGTGAAAATGTGTCTATAGGTACACCTAAAACTCAAAAGAAATAAATTAACCATAAATGCAAGGTGATCCTTTTCTTGTTCCAACCCCCAAAATAAAATTTGTCACAAGCACTAGTTTTAATCTAAATTATGAAGGATCTAATCTGTCTTTGGTAACTTAATGTACCCCTACATGCTCCTTCTCTTTTCCAAACCCTCAATCCCCATATTCTTTTTTTTTTTTTTTTTTTTTTTTTTTTTTTCTAGGGTTTTCTTTTTTTTTTCGATCTTGGGTCGGATAGCGCGGTGCGCAGGCTCGGCGAGACACCCCACCAAAGAGAAAAAAAAAGAAAATATA